AGTGAGTCTGAGGCTGTGGGAGGTGCCGGCAGCACCTGTGGGCGGGAACCACGGGCGGGGAGGACCTGACCTGAACACGGGAGAGTCCTGCGGGAAGGGTGGGGGAGGGCGGGAGGGGCGCCGGCTTGGGTCCTGCTCAGCAGGGCCAGTGCGTCTTCCTCGCCCGTCCCTTCCCCCGCGGGCCCACAGGCGACCTGGTCAGCCTGAGGCCCTCTGCTCCGTGGCTTCCTCGCTGTTCACACAGCCAGGTCTACGCACCCAGATCTGTCTCCTTCCCTCCTCGTCACCCGCCCAGTGCGGCTCCACTTACACTCTGCTCCTGGGCCCGACCTCCGGCCACCCTCTGCAGCCCTGGGTGTGCTGTTGGGTTTTACTCCGTCGCCATGGTGAGAGTGATCGAGACTCAGTGGGCCCCGGGTGTGTGGTCTTAGAGTAGAAAAGAAATTATAGAAGTGAGACAGCGTTGAGAGAATTAAGAAACTATGTCTAGCCCATATATTTGAAAAGGAGGTTGCAGTCAGAATAGATAATTCTTACACCCAATCCAAGTTCTTAAACATGGACCTCCTGTCCTGGAATCTGCTCAGGGACACAGGAGAAGATGCTAGGAGAGTCGCTGTGGAAACCACAGAAAGCCACGTCTGCACACCTGCTAAGCCAGTTAGTGCCAAGCTAATGGCACACGGAGCCACTAGGACTCATGCTTTGCTTCTGGGTATAAAATGGCAGGAACTTCAGAGGTTGGCAATTTCTCGTTGAAATGAAACGAGTACTTACCATGGCCAGCACTCCACTCCCGGGTATGTTCCCAGGGAAACAGACGCATGTCCTGTTCTGAGGAGAGGGAGCAGCCAGTGTCCATGCCAGGTGAGGGGATGAACACTGTGGTGAGTCAGAAAGTGATAGGACGTCTGTAGCATGAAGAGGACACGCAGCCACGTGGCTGAGTCTCGACCACGTGCTGCTGAGCCCGAGGCGCCAGGCAGCCTTGCTGTCTCCCCGCCCGCCCGCCCGGGAGCTCGGGGACACCTCGGGCCCAGAGTCGGTGCAGAGGCGCGGCAGCAGCTGGTGGACATGCCTGGAAGCCATACCATCGTTGCTTATGGAATTATGTGCCCGTGCAGTCCCTCTGGGACGTGTGCATTGGAAGAGATAACCCTGGGGAAGGCCCAGCAAGGAGGGGTGCCCGCCCGCGGCACGTTCTGCAGGCAGCACTGATTCCTCTGGCCATGGTTCCCGCTGAACGTGGGCTGTGGGGTTCTCAGAAGAGACCCAAGCTGATTCAGCCAGGAACAAATCTGAACCAGCACCAGCTCTTGGGCCCCCAGAGCCCGCATTCTGTGTGCGGCGTTCCCGCTGCGTTGGGAGGCGGGCCCCTGCAGGGCTCCTTCTTCGGACATGACATGGGTTGTGCGTCCGTCTGTGGCTGGCAGCTGGGCTGGGCTGGCCCTCAGCCCTCCGGTCTCAGTCCTCACTGCCCGTGGCCAGAGCACCAGGGACAGCGTCAGCCCACGGCGCAGGGCATGTGGCCCTCCCGCCTCTGCAGCTTCCGCCCCTGTGGGAGCCTCTGAAAGAGAAGTGGGCACTGACCATGCTGGTCCGGGGTCTGCGGGGCTCTGTACCCCACAGATGAGAAGCCGATCCCCTAAGAGGCCTCCAGGGGGACCTGCTGGTGGTGAACTCCCCAGCACTTTGGTAATGTGGACAGCCACACGAGGTGGAAACTCGCCTCCTGTTAATCCCTCCTGGGAGGAGGCCTGGCAGCCGCGCTCAGGTGCGTGCTTTCCCTCCTCTTTCAAGCTTCCTAAGGCAGCAGCCTGTTCTGTGCTGTGTGGTCGGTGGGGCGGGTCCATGCCAGGCAGATGGCACCCACTCCTTACGTCCTCGCAGATGTGTGCGCGGCTCCCGGCCTCAGAACCGCAAAGAGCCTTTCAGGGCAGGACACTGGCTGAGCGGAGCCCCTTCGACTGTGATGGGATGGCGTGGCTCACAGGTCACCTGGGGGTGAACTGCTGCGCCCAGGCCACACCCCCTCGCTGCCCCAGAACGTCTGGGACCTGCTTGCTGCCCGGGTTGTGGGCCTCTGCTGGGTCCTTCCGCAGCCCTGGCCCCTGGAGACCCCGGGAGCTCTGAGGCCGCCGCCCCAACTTAATGGCACTGCCAGGGGCTCTGAGGCCACAGGCCCCCACCGAGCCCCGATGTCCACTGACACCATGGGCGCCAGATTCCCGTAGGTTTACACATTTCTTGCCACGTACCGGGCAGTTTAAGGGTCAGATAAAAAGCTCTGTGGAATCCAGAGCGATTTCCGAATGTGTGTTTTTCCGGGATTTTTGAAAACTGAGAGCGAAAAGCGACCCGGAGGCGTGTGGCCGGCTCGCTGACATGATGAAGCCAAGGGAGGCCCGCGCCGGCCGGACGCACAGGCAGGGCCGCAGCGCTGACCCTCTCACCGCGATGAACGCTGCGAGGCAGGAGGCCCAGGCTCCGGGCTCTTAGAGGCTATTTGTGGGTCCCCAGGACGACTGTTCCCATCACGCATGAGCCTTTCAAACGCCAACGGCGCTTTAAGAATCCAAGGCCTCACACGGTCAGCTCAGCAGCCTCCTGGGCTCACACTGCAGCCGCCTGTAGGGAACAGGGCAGGCTCGGTGCGGGCTGGGGCTGGGGCTGGGGCTGGGGCTGGGCCAGAAGTGTGCCCGCCGGGGCCTGACTCCACTTTCCTCCCAAAACGAGAACTTCCGGAAACCGTCGTCGGAGACCCCTGCATGCCAGGCAGGCCTTTCCCCCCTCCTCCGGACACCAGCACAGACGTTCCACTAGTGGACGTGCCCGTGGCGGGAGACGCGCCTTGCTGGGCCCCATCCCCCCCTCCTTCCCCGGTTTCCATGTTTGGAGAAACATTTTGAAACGTGGTGGTGGTCAAGTCAGGGCCGATTACACGTCCTGTCACTCAGGAAAGCCAGAGAAAGTAACTTAATGCGACTTAAACGCACTGACCCTGGGAGCGCCCTCCAGGCCTGGCTTCTTGGCGTCCTTGGCACCACTCTTCCTGGCTTTGCGTCCACACCCTCCCGTCTCCCCTCCTGAGACTGCGAGGTGGTGTGTGTGCGCACCTCGCAGTCGGTGCAGGTGTGCGGCCGGCATGGCCACTGGGTCTCCCGTCCCCTCATCTCCCGTCGTGTCGTTAGGAGCGGGTGGGGCAGGCCTCACTGCCTGTCCCGGAGCTCAGGCCCGGCATCTCATGCGTGGGTGCCGTCGTCCCCCATCTCACGGCTCCCCTTCACCGGCTCACCCCCTGCGTGCTGTCAGTCTTCCAGGAAATGGGCGTCCTGGGCTCCCGGAGAGCAGGCGCCGTGCCTGCCCCAGCTCTGCTCCAGGCACCGTGCCTGCACCAGCTCTGCTCCAGGCGCCGTGCCTGCCCCAGCTCTGCTCCAGGCACCGTGCCTGCACCAGCTCTGCTCCGCCAGATCCGGCCCTGGAGGCAGGGGCGGGGGGGGGGGGGGGGCGAGGGCACTCCCTGGGCGCGGCTTCCACCAGGGGTGGCTGGTGCCATGGCCGGAGAGTCTGGGAGCAGCCGTGTGTCTGTTCAGAGCGGAGCGGCCTGGTGGGAACCCGAGGCCTCCACTTGGGCTCCGTGACCTGGTGGGACCTGGCCCTCTGTCTGCCCTGAGCCGGACACAGCAAGACTCTCTCCTCGGTCATGGCAAGGGGTGCCCGGGCTGGTTCCTGGCGCCAGCACACCGTGGGCCCCCAGTCACTGCAGCTGCTGGGTAAGGGGCCGGGTGTGGGGTGAGGAGGGTGAGTGAGGACTCGGGCCTGTGGCTTGTGGGAGGCCTGCAGGTCATCGGAAAGGAACCAGGGGGTGGTTGGTCTGAGGGCCGGAGCTCTGTGCTGAGGCCGGGAATGAGCCGCGTTGGTGGAAGGGAGCTTGCGGTGGAACGAGAATTCTCGGACAGCGTGGCCTGGTGGAGAGGGTGGGCCCAGGCCCAGGGAGGGGCAAACCCAGAGAGGGGTCCTGGGGCCCAGGGGCAGGTGTTTCAGAGTGGGAGGGGCTTGAGCTGCGGGTGGGAGGGGCTTGAGCTGCGGAGTCTATAGCTGCTGAGGAGTCCATCAGGCTGAAGGCTCTTCTGCCGGGTGCCCCTGTGAACACCTGGCAGCATGGCTGGGGGCGAGGCCTGTCCCCGCCCTGGGCAGCCCCGCACACTGAGCTCAGGTCACAGAGTAGGTGGCGGAGGTGGGATTTGCCCGGGGAGCACCCGTTCTGTCATCTTGTCTCCCTCCCTCCCACCCGTCCCGGGCACAGTCCGTAGGTGGGGAGTGCCGGTCAGACTGCTACGGAGCCTGACTCCTGGCCTCGGCCTGCTCGTCTGGGACTCAGCCCCTTCCAGTGCCAGCGGCTTTCGTTCTGAACGTGAGCAGCTTTAAAAGTGCTGTTTTCAGACGACACTGCAGCCGTGCTTCTCACACCGACCTGGGCCCTGTCTGCTCCGTGGCCAGTGATGGAACATGCCAGCAGCAAGACGGGCAGGCGCGGCCGGAGTGGGAACGGCGAGAGGCCTGAGCTCAGAGTTCCGACAGGCGGCGTGGGGACTCCGGCCACCGTGAGCCACGCAGAGAAGCTCCATTACACTCAGGCGTCTTCGTTCCCGCCTCCCGGGTCCCGAGAGCTCCCCGCTGCCCAGGCCTGCGCCTCCCCGTCCCCGGTGCCCCTGACAGCCCTGTGCCCGTCCCTCCCGGCCGCGTGGACACCATGGTCACTGTCTGCACAGCTGGGTGTTCCCAGCAGCTCAGTTAGAACGCGAAGCAGCTCAGAGACCTGACCCTTTCTTGCCTGTGAGTTGTTGGCTTCAGAGAATGTCAGTGTGCTGCCGCCTGCTCTGGGTCCTCAGATTCGGGGCTCACTGGCTGTGCCACCTGTCCCCCCAGAGAGGGCGTGAGCATCGCCATGCCTGTTCCCCACGAGGTGCTCAGGCCTAACCCTATGTCTCTGCCCACAGCTCTGCCGCCAGGAGCGCCACCTGTCCGCGGGACAGTACCAGGGGACGCTGTTCGCCGATCAGCCCACGATGTTCATCTCACCAGCCAGCGACCCCCCCAGAGCCAAGCTGTGGGAGCTGGTCCTCCTGTGTGGGGGTCGGGTCACCGGGGTCCCTCGCCAGGCCAGCCTCTTCATCGGGCCCTGCCAGGGGAGGAGGAAGGAGACCGTCACGTACCTGTCGGAGAAGTGGATCCTTGGTAGGAACCTGCTCGGGGTCCTGGGGGACAAAACACAAGGTTGGGGGCGCCTCTGACTGCAGGCTCAGGGACAGCTGGGTTCTGGGGGACAAAACACAAGGTTGAGGGGCACCTCTGACTGCAGGCTCAGGGACAGCTGGGTTCTGGGGGACAAAACACAAGGTTGAGGGGCGCCTCTGACTGCAGGCTCAGGGACAGCTGGGTTCTGGGGATTCAGAGAAGTCGGGGGCACCTCTGACTGCAGTGTCGCCTGGCGTTCCCTGAGAGTGCTGCCTGGGATAGGACAGGGCTCTCCAGGGGGAAGCCTCCTGCCCACGCCCCTCCGTGCGCCTGGGCCTTGGTGGACGTCTGTGTCCACGTGCCTGCTCGGCAGAACCCTGCAATCATCCCTCACGGCTGACGTGGACCTGCCTGCTTCTCACTGTCGGCCCAAGTGCCGCCTGCGGGGCAAGGAGTCCTCTGAGACCATCTACCCAGAGCTGCCCCAAATCTACGGCTCTGTCCCCTAACTCTTAGCTCCTGCTCCTCCCCAAGCGCCTGCTCCGCACCCCCCCCCCCCCCCCCCAGCGCCTGATCTGCCTCTGGGAAGCCCTGAGAACAGGTGCCGCTGCCCCACAGCCAGGCTCTGGGAGCGTCTGTGTCCCCTCAGTCCCAGGTCCGTCTTTGCTGACACGCAGGACACCAAGGCCACGACTCGGAGTGACTCATTCAGCCAGCAGGAGAAATGGGGATTTTCTTAGAGAGAAACCCGTCTGGGCACTTGAATGTGTATGAAAATAAACAGGAAAACAGCGTTAAATTCCCAGCACCAGGAAGCGAGGTGTTGCTTTTACCTGGATGTGATGCTTGCGTTCTTGAAGGCGTTCCCAGGAGCTTCACTCGCCCGCACAGGCCTGAGTGTGTCTGTGAAATGGACGCGTGGCCGTGGCGTTCCTGGGCCGGCCTGTGCTCTCCATGCCGACCGCAGCTCCCGCACCCTCACCGGCGCGGGCGTCACCCCCGTGGTCCGTTCGGTGGTCTGAGGAGCTAAACCAGCAGCTCTCACAGCACCGGTGGCTGCCAAGCGTGGGGTGCGTGTGCCTGAGGCTGGTCTTTCCTTGCGTTTCATGTCCTGCTGATTTATGTGCTGTGGCCGCGGGGACGCGGGGAGAGGCGGCTCTGGGCCACCGCAGACCTCACAGGACAGCTCAGGCTTGTATAGAAAGGGGACGGCGTCTGTGCGCCTGGCCCCTGACCCACCGATGCCCTCTCTCTCCCCAGACTCGGTGACCCAGCACACGGTCTGCGCCTGCGAGGACTACCTGCTGCGGCAGTGAGGCCGCCCGCACCTGAGGCGGCTCCGTCCGGTCCGGCGCTCCCGGAGACGGAGGCCGTGGGAGGAGCCCCCAGAGGGCCGTCCCGCCGCCGCCCGCGTCCTCCTGTGGCCCCGCGTCCCAGAGGCCGGGCTGCCCGGCACCTGTGTCTGGCAGTGGCCGTGATCAGAGCTCCAGACCGTGGTCTCTCGCCTGGTAAATAAAGAGTGCGATCGGTTCATGGTCTCGTTGCAGAGAATGGTCTCGCCCTCAGTTCCATCAGACACTGGGTCTCTCTAGCCCCCGTCACCAGAGATGGCCACGCTGTCCCTGGGTCGTGAGGTGCTGGTTGTGCAGCAAGACTCGCAGCGGTTAGGTTAGCGGCACAGGGCCCTGAGCGCCAGGGCCGGAGCAGGGGCGGGTCCACCACGCTGGCCTCAGGCTTGCTGTCCCCGGAGGGAACTGGCCGGCCGCCCGGTCGCCTCCTGAGGGGCAGCGCTGCCCAGTCCCCGAGCGAGCGGGAGGGGCGGCTGCTCACGTAGCTGTGACCCCCCCAGGATTCAAGTCCCTCGGCGTGGCAACAGATCAACTGCTGGGCTACACCTTCGAGAGTCGAGGTCATGACAGCATGGAAGTGAGGAGGGCTTTCTCTTGGATTCAAAACCGTGTCCAACACACGCAGTCCCCTCATGGCGCCCAGGCCCCTCACCACGGGGCCGCAGGGAGACTCCCGAGAGCCGCCGGGTTCACGGTGCCCCCGGCCCGGCCCTGGAAGCGCCTTTAGCCTCCTGTCCTGCTGGTAGTGCCGCAGGCGAGCCTCACCCCTCACCAGGCTGCAGGGCTGGGGGCCTGGTCTCTACGGTTCCCACCGGTGCCGGCTTTCACCATCGCTCCTCACATCCCACCCAGAGAAGAAGACATGAGAGAACGCAGATTAGAAATGAAGGGTAAGACTGTTCTCAGGTCACATGACACTATATGTAAATATATAAGGAGTCAAAGAAAACATAGTCTTTAAGGAGATTACAGGACATAAAAGCCAATATTCCAAACTAAGTTAATTGTATTTCTATATATATTATCAATAAACAATTTGAAAATGGAAAAATACAATTAGTTTATAATGGCATCTAAAAATAAACTAAAATAGGAATAAATTTAACAAAAGTACTGAAACCATGAAACATTGCTAAGAGGTTACAGATCTAGATAAATGGAGAAATGCCCCGCGTTCATGTTTTAGAAGTCGACATTGATAGCAGCGGTTCTCAGGTTGGTCTGTGGATTCGGTGTAACCACGGCAATAGGTCGTCAGGCAGAAACCGGTAAGAACATGGGCCTGGGGCAGCGGTCGCCAGGCCTTCGGACCTCGCGGACCAGCAGAGGCCACCCCTGCCCTAGAGGACACCTACCGGGCGGGCCCAGGCGTCCCTCCGAAGGCAGCGCGCGCTCCTTTCGGCACCTGGTTCCTCCCGGGCAGGTCACTGGTGAGGACTGAAGTCCGCAGGTCTCTCTAGCCGGTGCCTGGAAGCAGGACACCCAGCCCCTCCCGGTCATTCCTCTCGAGAGCGTCCCTTAGGGGAGAGGCGCACGGAGAGGCCGCAGCGCTGTGTGCACAGAAGCATGGGAGGCGTCGCAGGCCCCGCGTCTGGGACGGACCAGCCAGTCGGGCCCATCGCCGGGCCCATCGCCGGACAGTGCCTCCCAGCGGCTCGGTCACAGTCACGGACGGAGGCAGACCTGAGGGCACGTTCACACTGAGGCGGGAAGATGCTGTTCCTGGTGCTGCCGCCAGAGCCCCGCACGTTCCCAGTGGAGGCATCTGAGTGGGCGCTGGGCTGTGGTTGGTTTGGGGTACATGTCCAGGAATGTGGCTGTCGTTTTGAAAAGGGATTGATCCCTGCCTGTTGGAAACGGGTCGCTGCCCAAGCCTTACGCGCTGGCAGGTGCTCGCTGCCTCCTTCCTGTGGCTTTGCCTCCTGCAGCCGAGGCCCTTCCACCCCAGGCCTGATGTCTCTGGGCTCCACAGGGGAAGGAACCGACGCAGACCCCGCCCCTTGCTCAGAGCTCCTTGCCCATGAAGGAGGCCCAGCTCTCCAGCGGCCTTCCCTCCCTGCTCCTCCCCCTTCACTGCATCTCCTGGAGCTCCTTTGTCTCTGTTTGTCTGCGCTCAGCTCCGCCCCTTTGCCCTCTCTCCCGCCTGCTGAGTCCTTCCTTTCTGGAGGCCAGAGCTGCGGCTTCCCACCCTCCTGCAGGCAGGTGCCTGCTCGATCCCCGTGGGGGGTGTGCAGGAGGCAGCCAGTCACTGATTCTCATCATTGATGTTTCTCTCTCTCTCCCTCTCCCATCCTCTCTGAAATCAGTAAATAGATATATATATATATATTTAAATAATAAACAAAACCATGAAGACAGAGGGCTAATTTTTTATTACAACTGTGTGTGTGTGTGTGTGTGTGTGTGTGTGTGGTCATTGCCTAACTGCTCGGCCCTCTGGGAGTGGGCGCATGCGCTTCACGGGGCCCGTGCTGTGACTGAAGTCCCATGGCCCGGCTCCCAGCCTGGCGTCTCACGTCATTGAAGACGAGGAGTCTGTTTTCCGTCCCAGGAAGAGAGATGCTCTGTTTGTCCCGGGAGCATGTGAGCGCTTCCCCGAGACGACGATGGAAGCGACTGAACCGAGAGGAGCAAACGCGAGCAGACCCGGCGGCGAGCCTGCTGAGGGGCTCGCGGGTCCTGCTTGGTCGTCAGGGGTTCCTGTTCCCCGAAGCCTCGGGCCTGCGACCCCGCCCCCTCCCCCCACCCCAGCTCCCATCGTCACTGTTAATCTGCGATCAGTGTTAACGTTTGGACTCACAGCTTCTCTGTGGGAACGGGGAGTTTACATCTTTAATATCCCAGAGAGAAGATGTACTAAAACCAAGCTCACTTTGCATCCCTCCTGCTGCCACGCCTGCTGGGGAGGAATCCGTCCTGGGCTCCCCCAGCTGTCCTCCGTCTGTCCCTCCGTCTCTCTGTCACCGTGAACTCAGTGCACGGGGGGCCGGGGTTGGGGGGTGACAGGCTGGGCTTGGTGCATGCAGCCAGCTGTCGGCCCACGCGTCTCTGCCAGCGGGTGAAACCCACCGTTCACTGTTGTGTGCAGAGCTGCTGGGCCGGCCGGAGGGCGGGACTCAGGGCCAGAGCCTGGTTCTGGGGCCGCACAGGAGGGACAGGACAGGCCTGGACCTGCTGGGCCCTGGGCAGTGGAAGCTCAGGCAGCCTCCTCGAGCGCACGGAGGCCCCTCCCTTCCCTCCCGTCTGTGAGGGCCTGAGAGTTCCCAGCAGGCCTCCTGCGGCTACTGGCTCCAGGGCCCCCTAGTCGTACCCTTGGGGCCCAGCCTAGACCCACAGGAAGCACAGCTGTGCCCCAGGCTCACGCTCGCTCCCTGGGCTGAGGCAGGAGGTTGGTAGAATCACCCTGGGCCTGAACGTAGGCGGAGGCTGGGTTCTCAGTGCTGGGCCTAACCCCCTCCTCCCCCTGGAGTCCACGCTCAGGACTCACATTGCAGCCGCATTGGACTTCCTGGCACCCGGGACATCTCTGTAACAGGAGTTCAGGGGGAAGGGGGGAGTGTGGGGGGGACGGGGGCTCGGGTTGGCCCACGCTAAGCGCAGCCCCGCGCTCGGGGGTACCAGCCCCACTGGGGCGCCGCCCTGCTCTCGGGGTGCTGGCCCTGCTCTAGGCGTGGCTGGAGGCCGCTCCTTGGGGAGCACCTGCTGGAGGTGGAGCCCTGTGACTGACCACAGCCTCAGGAAGGGAAGGGGAGGGTTCACCCACTCAGTCACCACGGGTGCTCTCAAACCCCAGTGCCAACTCCGAGATCATCAGAACCAACCCAACCTCGCACTGCCCGCGATCCTCGGGGATAAAAGCAGCCAGCTACCGAGGTAATAGGATGTCTGCGGGCAGCTCATACTTAGGTGGGTGCAGGAACAATTAACATGACAAATGAAAGAATCTGCTGCATCTGTCCTGGGCCCAGCACACCTGGCCGTGCCCCAGGGGCTCCAGATACAGGGAAACCACAAGTTACCCAGACATTTCAAGGGTATGTTATCATAGATGCAAAAAGACAGATAGGCTCAGCTACAGTAAAGGTTGACCTTATCAGTGAAGATAATCGGCGTAGGACGTAACTGCCCACCATCACTGCTTTTAGTTAAGGTTTAATTTCAGACCATCCTTTGTGGTTACTTTAGGTCTCCGAGTCTGCAAAACTGCCATGCAGGCCTCTCCTGAGCTTGTCGGGTCAGCATGTGGCCCGTTTCGTCCACACATCCCCCTTTTGGTCATAAAACAATCCAAAGGATGCATTTGATGACCAACCTTTTGGTTGGATAATGGAGTCCCACGGTGCTAGGAAGGCTCATTCCTAGGATGTCTCAGTGTCAGCATGTCTTGCTGAACAGGTGGACCACTGGGGATGGGGCAAGACCGTAACCTTAGATGGCATTTAAGGTCGAATTATTATTATTTTTTAAAAAAGGGCAGGTAAATGGGAGGCAGTCAGGTCCTATACGTCCTTGTTAAAAAGTATTCTGGATCATTTCTAATTTTTGAGCCATCATGATCTGAGTTTTGCTGTTTGTCTTAAGTTTTGCTTTTCTGCATCTAGTGTAATATTTACATATTATGAACACAAAAACCACCAAAGTATTGATTATATACCAGGGTTTGGAATGAGGAACCTGGTTCGAAAAAAAAACAAAAAAAAAAAAACAGTTTACAGGAGCAGAATTATAGTTCTGGGTCTTGGGGTCACTGAATTGACAGAAACACCTTATCCAGAGCCCTCGGGTCTTGAGACCACTGAGTTGCCAGGAACTCATTAAATTTAGAGTAATTGCACTGCCCTGGCCTTGGGACCACTGAGTCAACTGGAATGCATTATCTGTGATCACTAAAACGACCTAGGATAATTGCGCTGTCCTGTTTCCCAGGTACAGAAGAATGTGCTTTCCAAAACCAGTAAGATAATAATCAATGGGATAATTATTCAATTGAATGGGATGATGTATACAATTCAGAAAATCAAAAAACTTTTCCACTGTTAAGCAAAGCAAATAGGTACCATACTTCATTCCCCACTGGTTTTATGTACATGAGTCAAATCATGGACTCATCTTTACTAGTTAGGGGATTGTACTGCCCCCTAACTACAAGTAGTTAGACCGAATTAATTTTTCTAAACTGCCAGTTTGGCACATTTAATTTTCATTTACTCACCCCACTTCTTTTAGGGGCATTCTCTATTCTGTTCCTGCTCTCCTGTCCCCTTGTGCATCTAGCCCCACTTGTCCCTGGACTTTCTCACTGGCTAGAAAAAAAAAATGTTCTTACAGTTACCAAGTGCCCTAGTGCCACGGTCCCCATTAGTACTGTCCTCACTGAAGTCCAGTTCCACTCTTGCGGACGTCGAGCCTTCTCCTGGCTCTCACAGGTGAGGCCGCTGGCTGCTGGGATCAAGGCTGTTTCCTGGTGCAGGAGTTGGGAGTGGGGTAGCCAGGTCTGGATGCATCAGCAGGGCGACAGTGTATAGTCCTTTTCAAGTTGGGGTGAGTCCTTGGGTAGTGAGCTTCTTTACCCACACCGAGTCCCCAGGCTGGAAAGGATGTACAGAGTCCAAGGTGGCACTCGCAGGGCGTCTCGAACAAGCTTATGGGTGGCTTGTAATTTCTGTAAGAGATCACGTCCAAGAAAGTGCCGGAAGCCGGTCCATGCTTGCTGTTTCAAGGGACCTGGCATATATGGCATACTGTTCTTAATATGTTTGTTCACCTTCTTGGCACTATGTGTTTTAACCAAGGTCTCTGAGAAAGGTTGTTTCCCCAGGTAGGGATTTTCCCCTGAAGGTAGGGAGGGAATAAAACCTCTTAACTAAGTGCCAGGCGGGTAATTAATCACTTTAACTATGAACAATCATGCTTAAGCTACATAATCTTTACTCCCTGGAATGGAGATAAGAAACGCCCTAACCTTTGGAATAGAGATTGA